CTGCGCATGCATGCGCAGTACAATAAAAATTGTTCTGCACATGCGCAGAAGCAAAATACTAGAGAACCAGTTCAGGGGCATGGCAGGCCTGGGTGACTGTCAGTTCCACTGACCCAGGTCACCAAATCACTCCCAGTTCAGCCAAACCAGTCGGAACCAATCACTGATGGAACTGGGTATGTCTAGTTTAAGGAGAAGAAGGACTAGGGGTGTCATGGTAACAGTCTTCCAATATTTGAGGGACTGCCCCAAAGAAGAGGGAGTCAAGCTATTCTCCAAAGCATCTGAAGGCAGGACAAGAAACAATGGGTGGAAACTAACCAAGGGGAGAAGCAACTTAGAACTAAGGAGAAATTTCCTGACAATTAGAACAATCAATCAGTGGAACAGAAGTTGCCTCCAGAAGTTGTGAATGCTCCAACACTGGAAGTCTTTAAGAAGATGTTGGATATCCTGAAGTGGATTTGTCTGAAGTGGTGTAGGGTTTCCTGCCTAAGCAGGGGGTTGGACTAGAAGACCTCCAAGGTCCCTTCCAACTCTGTTATTCTATTCTATTCTAAGTCTTAAAGTGGCCAAGTTTGGAGACCGTCCCTCCTGATTCAGGTCATGCTTGTCCCAAAGGTGCTTTTACCAAAAGGCAACTGAACTTCCTTGGGGGGGGGGTTTCTCCTTTGAAAACATTTGTCTTCTCATCCAAGATTGCAGTCATCGTGTCATTCGCACGCCAAAGGACGGTGGATAGCTCCCGGGGAGCTAAGAGCTAACGACCAAAGATGAGATGACTGCAAAGAATATACATCCTTCCGTTTCCCGCCAGCCGCTTAGAACGGAAGAAGTTTCTTGGATGAGAAGCGAAATATTTTCAATATTTGTGACTCAGACCAGAAGTCCATCTGCCAGTTTCAGCCTTGGCTTTCCATGCCCTTCTTCATTGTCCGGCAACTGAAAATCTTCCCCAGCAACGCTGGAAGACCAAACTCAAGGACCTGGCACATGCGCGCGGCCCGTTCTCGGAGGCCAGCCCGTCAACGGTGCACAAAACCTCAACAGGTCGAGCCCTATATTCAAGCACATTGTCCTACTTCAGTGGCCACTTTGTCTGAAGTGGTCTAGGGTTTCCTGCTTGAGCAGGGGAAATTGGCCGAGAAGACCTCCAAGGTCCCTTCCGTTGAGCGTTGACGGACGGCCCTGAATCTTAGATTGTTCTCTAATCAATTGCTCTCAACTCCCAATAATTTCAGCACGATCCTCCTCCCTGCAACCACATTATAAAGCCATCCGCCCCCCTCCCTCCCTCCCCAAAGATAACCAGTTGTTTTGCATCTAACCGGCTTTTCAACCTCCTGGTTTTTTTTGCTACAGTAAATCCTGCATTTATTTTTTTGAGCCTCTGGATTCGCTCTGGAGAAGAACAAGCCCCTGCCATGCACCCACAAGAGGTCCAAATTGGGGGTGGTACAATTGAGAAGATGGCAGCCGCGTGTGGGTTGCCCCAGGGGTGAAATCCAGCAGGTTCTGATAGGTTCTGGAGAACCGGTAGAAGAAATTTTGAGTAGTTTGGAGAACTGGCAAATACCACCTCTGGCTGGCCCCAGAGTGGGGTGGGAATGGGGATTTTGCAGTATCTTTCCCCCAGGAATGGGGATTTTGCAGTTTCCTTCCCCCAGGAGTGGGGTGGGAATGGAGATTTTGCAGTATCCTTCCCCCAGGAAAGGGGAGGGAATGGAGATTTTGCAGTATCCTTCCCCCAGGAAAGGGGTGGGAATGGAGATTTTGCAGTATCCTTCCCCCAGGAAAGGGGTGGGAATGGAGATTTTGCAGTATCCTTCCCCCAGGAAAGGGGTGGGAATGGAGATTTTGCAGTTTCCTTCCTCCAGGAATAGTGGGGCG